TGGTATATGGATACAATGGAGTATTACTCGGTAATCAGAAAGAATGAAACTTGCCATTTGCAACTATGTGGATGGAACTAGAGGGTATTATGCTAAGTGAAATTAGTCAGAGAAACACAAATATCATATGACTTCACTCATAGGAGAACTTTAAGTTACAAAACAGATGAACACATGGGAAGGGAAGTAAAAATAATATAAAAACAGGGAGGGAGACAAAAACATAAAGAGAGAGGCGCCTGGGTGGCTTAGTCGGTTAAGCGTCCAACTTCAACTCAGGTCACGATCTCGCGGTCCGTGAGTTCAAGCCCCACGTCAGGCTCTGGGCTTATGGCTCAGAGCCTGGAGCCTGCTTCTGATTCTGTGTCTCCCTCTCTCTCTGCCCCTCCCCCATTCATGCTCTGTCTCTGTCTCAAAAATAAATAAACGTTAAAAAAAATTAAAAAAAACAAACAAAAACAAAAAACAAAAACATAAAGAGACTCTTAAATATGGTGAACAAACAGAGGGTTAATGGAGGGGTTGTGGGAAGGAGGATGGGCTAAATCGGTAAGGGGCATTAAAGAATCTACTCCTGAAATCATTGTTGCACTATATGCTAACATGGATGTAAATTAAAAAAATAAGTTAAATAAAAATTTTTTTAAAAACCCTTTACTAGATTTTTTTTTAGTTCACACATTAAACTCCCAAAAAACAAAGTTCTCAACCAAAAAGATGATTCACCAACAATTCAAACTCAGTACTATATCCAAAATTAAGTTTAGCATCTGGCCTCCCAAAGTGATCACACACCTATATTCCTTGTGTCCACAAAGTGCACACCTACATCTCAATCAACTTCATTTGAAACTGCAAATTTAGCTCTATTTACTCCCTCTCTCCCTCCCATTCCTCTTAAATTAAATCAGTCTCTACATCCTATTAGCATCGCTCCCTATAATTTTACAAATGTTTCCTTCTCTATTGCCAAGGTCGCTACTCTAATTCAGGCCCCCCAGTGGAGAAGAGAATTCAAACTTCATCTAGAAGGATTAGTAGGAATAAATGTAAAAATTCAGGGGCTGAGATATGAAGGCTGGAAAAGTGAACTACTTGATTAGAGGCATAGAAGCAGAAAAAGATGAGCCACATAGTAAAATAGTGCCATAGAATCAATTAAGTGTAACAAGATACAGTGAAAAGAGAATTGATAGAGTGGTAAATTCTCCTTGCAATGATAAAAGGACACACAGAGAAAGAAAAGATTTCATAGGGAGTATTATGGGTTAAATGTATCCCCCCCCCCCACAAATATATGTTGAAGTCTTAACCCCTAGTACATGTAAAAGTGACCTTATTTGGAAATAGGGTCTTTGCAGACATAATCAAATTAAGATGGGGTCATACTAGAAATTCAGACACAGACACACAGGGGAGAAGGCCATGTGGAGACAAAGGTAGAGATCAGAGTGGTACTGAAGGTTCTGACAACCACCAGAAGCTAGAAGAGGCAAGGAAGGATTCTTCCCTAGAGCATTTAGAGAAAGCATGACCTTGATGATACCTTAATTTCAGACTTCTAGACTCTAAATTCCTTTTTTAGTAATTTATTTCAGTGGCTCTCAGAAACCTAGGAGGTTGAGGCAAACACTTGAAACGGTAGGTATTTACCCCCATTGGAGAGTGGAACAGCTATATGGGCAGAGAAAACAAAGGTGCAAAGACATGAATAAAGCTGGAATGCTTAGTATATCCAAGTCATGAAGTATGGGGGTGGGGGAAAGCTCTAGATAAAACTGGAAAGGAAAGCAGAGGACAAATCATGGAGCATCCATCAAACCATACTAAGGAAATCTGTGTCATTAAGGAAATCTGAGGGATAACTTTAGAAAGATGATTAGAAGCAGTGAAGTATTCAGACCAATGGGATCATAACTGAAGACAGGAAAACTGGTTAGAAGAACACTTCGATACCCAGATAAGAAATGATGAGAGCCCTAAATAAGGTAATAATAGAATTAGAGGAGGAACCAGGTTTGAAAAATGATGGGGAGAGACTATCAACAGTATAGGAAGACAGACCAGATATGGCTTGAACACTCGGATAAAGAATGCAAGAGAAACAAATGGTAAACATTTAAAAATTCAGCTCTGGAATGCTGAATTAAAAGTGCCTATAGGGGCGCCTGGGTGGCGCAGTCGGTTAAGCGTCCGACTTCAGCCAGGTCACGATCTCGCGGTCTGTGAGTTTGAGCCCCGCGTCAGGCTCTGCGCTGATGGCTCAGAGCCTGGAGCCTGTGTCCCTCCGATTCTGTGTCTCCCTCTCTCTCTGACCCTCCCCCGTTCATGCTCTGTCTCTCTCTGTCCCAAAAATAAATAAAGGTTGAAAAAAAAAAAAAATTTAAAAAGTGCCTATAATAATCAAGAAATAAATGTCTATTAATGATACATACATATATATACACACATATATACATATACATATATACATATATATACATATATACATATATATACATATATGTATACATATTACATAGTAAAATTCTACAAGCTCAGGAGAAAAACAATGTGCTGCAGAAACATTTGAGAGTAATTAGTATACAGGGTTAACTCATAGAGAGAAGCACTGAAAGGAACCATGTTTTAGAGTCAGGAAGGAAAGCTTAAGTCTCCTAATCTTGAAAGGGGAAGGTGAGGGCAGCAAGACGAGGAGGAGAATGGACTGGCCCCACAGAAGTTAAGAGAAGTTAAGGGAAGAGGGATTCCCTATCAAGGGAGAAGCCTACACCAAACACAGCCAACAGGCCCAGTGAGATTCAGACCAACAGTTCATCATCTTTGACAATGAGAAACTGGTAGCCTCAATTTTCTCACTGAAATAGAATATATGAGCATCTTGGACATAGTAGATCTCAATAAATATTGATTGGCTAGCTAGCTGACTGAATAACCGGGAAAACAGCCATCATTAAAAAATCAAACACTGTGGGAATGAAGAAGAAGGTAATGGACTGAGAGAAGGAAAACAGGTTGAAAATTAAAGGTCTCTGTGTTCTTCCTCATGGCACTACGGTACCCAGTCAACCTCCCTTGCCTTCACCTCCTACTCCTAATCCATCAGTATAGGACTTGCTATTTTAAACTCAAACTGTTTCTCCAATTCATCCCCACCTCTCCATTTCTTGTTTAAGTCACCTCTGAACCCACCAACATGACTGCAATAACTTCCCATTGGTTTCACAAATTCCAACCTCGATTCTCTCAAATTCAACCTCCACGAAACCACTATATTCATTCTAACAAAGACAATACATTATCGCTTGGTTTAAAACCCTTCAGTGACGATCATCCACAACAAGTTTTTATAACATTACTCTAAGGAATCTTGAATTCTCTAATAAGATGCCTAAGGTATACTACAAAGAGACTGAACAGATGGGAATTCAGCCTATCCCTCTACCCACTAAGAAAAGTTTGGTTTCACTTCAACCAAAGTATTCCAAGCAAGTTTTCATTTGAAGAAAAAGTTCACCGAAATTAGATTATTCTTTTACTGCAACACTCACTATTATTTCCTAGCTTAAAACTCTGAATGAGGGGTGCCTGGGTGGCTCAGTAGGTTCAGTGACTCTTGACTTTGGCACGGGTCATAATCCCAGGGTTGTGAGATCGAGCTCCATATCGAGCTGAGCGTGGAGCCTGCTTAAGATTCATTCTCTGTCTCTCTCTGCCCCTCACCCATGCTCTCTCTCTCTCTCTCAAAACAAACTTAAAAAAAAAAACTCTCTCTCTCTCTCTCTCCGTCTGCCCCTCTCCCACTCACACACTCTCTCTCTCTCTCTCTCTAAAAATAAATAAATAAATGAAAACTTCAAAGCTCTGAATGAAAAAAAGTACTCACTTAAAAGGAACATCCTTCTATTAATGAGTTAAATGGCGCTAATGGAACAAGTTACCTAAGAATACCTATTTTGCATGTATCTTCTAACTCAGTGAAAGCTACTGGGCAAAGAGAGTAATTTTTATGTCACACTGATCCTCTCAGAAATGAGACACCTTTCTAAGGAAGGCAGGCTGGGTATGAATGGAATTAGAATGCAGTGTCAATCCCTTGAGAACTTTATGGCAGGAAAGAAGTACTGAAATGAAACACTCCTAAGACTATAAAGAGAAAATCCCTCTAAACACAAGATGAAAACACAAGCTATGTGATCCAAATATGACTTGTATCATTTTTACCAATGATCACAAATTCCTGACAAAGTACCTCATAAATAATCACCTCTGCTTTCCTCTAAAACTGGAAAGTCCAGCATTAAAAAAATGACAGCTAAACTGTATAAGTTGGACAATTAAATCTCTGCATGCTCACCATTCATCTCTCGCTCTCTCTCTCTCTCTCTATACACACACACACACACAATACACATACACACATATGTGTGTGTGTGTGTGTGTACATATACATATACACATATATGTATATGTATACATATACAAATACTATATACATATACATAGTATTTCTGGCCTAGATTTCAGCTAAATTCCTTGTAATTTTAACTAGTTTTAGAGGAAGATAGCTTTTCAGGAATCAGATGGAAACATTCATTTCTAAAGCAAAATAAGAAAATACTTAGCAACCAACCAGCTTTAACTTATTTTTCTGAATGACATCTTTGTTTTCCTTTTGGTACATCTCCATTTTCTTTTTGGTGTTGTCCAAATCCACATTATTGGTCAAGTTGAAAACTGCATCAGAAAGGAAACAATGACATGAAAAACAGTTTTAATATAAATCTTGAGTGAACAATAAAAAAAATTCATCACACTGACTTAATTCATCAGATTGTCATTACTTACAGCTATATTTATGTCCTTTTACCTAATACCTACTTTAGAAACTAGTTCTAGTTCAGCAACTATGTTTCCAGAGCCAAAGACTATCAGACTATCACACAGAATATCTAAATCTCTGAATCACCCCAGAAAACCTAAGATACGTGTTTGTCATAATCACATTAGATTTGATTTTTAAAGTCCCCATTTTAACTTTAAAAGTACATAAAAGATTACTTAAATTATTTAAATACAAAGAGTAAGTCTGGGATCTATTATACTAGTCAGAATCAAAACTGAAAAGAATCTGTGCTCTACAAAGAGAAAATGTATCCATCAGAATAAAAAATATTATATAATTATATAATTTATAGAAAACAAAAACAAGTTTAATTCACATTCCAATGGTCCCTATAGTCTAGATGTAAAGAAGCGTGATATAGGGGCACGTGGTGGCTCAGTCGGTTAGGTGTCCAACTTCAGCTCAGGTCATAATCTCGCACTTGAGCCCCAGCTCAGAGACTGGAGCCTGCTTCAGATTCTGTGTCTGCCTCTCTCTCTATCCCTTCCCCGCTCTCTCTCTTTCTCTCAAAAATAAATAAACATTAAAAAAAATTTTTAATAAATAAATATGATATAGATAGCAGTTAAAAATTAACTAAGAAGGTAAAGAATAAACTGGCACCAAAACTTAAGACTGAAACTATTTCATAAGAGAAGCCACTGAGGTATGTTCAAAAAAGATGACGGTAGGGGCGCCTGGGTGGCTCAGTCGGTTGGGCATCCGACTTCAGCTCAGGTCATGATCTCGCGGTCCGTGGGTTCGAGCCCCACATCGGGCTCTGTACTGACAGCTCAGAGCCTGGAGCCTGTTTCAGATTCTGTGTCTCCCTCTCTCTGCCCCTCCCTGCTCATGCTCTGTCTCTCTCTGTCTCAAAAATAAATAAACCATTAAAAAAAAAAACATTAAAAAAAAACAAAAAAAGATGATAAATTTTCAATGAGTTAGATTTTTTAATGTATAATTATTTAATAATTGTATAATTTTTTATTAATTCTGACTCAAAATAATGCCTTACTCCCTTCTAAGTTTACCTATATAAATCAAAGTGTCAATATAATACTCTGAATAACAACCAAAAAACTCTTTTGGTACAGGGCACCTGGGAGGCTCAGTCAGTTAAGCGTCCAACTCTGGCTCAGGTTATGATCTCACAGCAGTTCATGAGTTTGAGCCCTGCATCGGGCTCTATGCTGTCAGCACAGAGCCCACTTTGGATTCTCTGCCCCTCCCCTTTTCGTGCACACTCTCTCTCTCTCTCTCAAAAATAAATTTTAAAAACAAGAAACTCTTTTGGTACATACAAATTCATATCATAAAGTACCACCACATTACCCCACATGTTACTGTGTTTGCATCAGCCTGTCTAAAGAAAAATCCAGGGGCGCCTGGGTGGCTCAGTCAGTTAAGCATCCGACTTTGGCTCAGGTCATGATCTCGTGGTCCGTGGGTTTGAGCCTGGCATCGGGCTCTGTGCTGACAGCTCAGAGCCTGGAGCCTGTTTCAGATTCTGTGTCTCCCTCTTTCTCTGACCCTCCCCTGTTCATGCTCTCTCTCTCTCTCTCTCTCAAAAATAAATAAATGTTAAAAAAATTTTTTTTTGTTTAAAGAAAAAAAAAAGAAAAATCCATATTATTAAGATTCTCCTGTTTCATAATTCAATTCAGACCTGCCTGGGCTTCTTCTGTAATCTTTTCCATCCATTATTACCTATTCTATCCCTTCACCAATTACTTTTCCCTACTTCCTGCTTGTTCTATAAACGGGTTTCATCTACCCTAAACAACTATGCTCTAAGCCATGTCTCTAAGTGAAACAGTGAGCCCTGTCTCACTCTTTCCTTTAATAACCATCTCAAATAGTTGCTTGACTTTTTGCTTTTACTTGTTCTTTTTTTTTCTTATTTGAGTACAGTTGACACATAATGTTATATTAGTTTCAGATGTACAACACAGTGATTCAACAACCAAATGTTATGATATGCTCACCACAAGTTTAGCTATCAACTGTCACCATGCAACCCTATTACAACACCAATGACTATATTCCATATGCTGTACCTTTTATTCCTATGACTTATTCATTCCATAACTGGAAGCCTGTATCTCCTACTCCCATTCACCCATGTTACCCATCCCCTCACCCCCTCCCTACTGGCAATGATCAGTTTGTTCTCTATTTTTATCAGTTTGATTCCACTTTTTGTTTGTTTTTTTAGATTCCACATATAAGTGAAATCATATGATGCGTCTCCTAAGGCAAAGGAAACAAAAGCCAAAATAAACTACTGGGACTACATCAAAATAAAAAGCTTTTTGCACAGTGAAAAAAAACCATCAACAAAACAAAAAGTCAACCTGCTGAATGAGAGAAGGTATTTGCAAATGATATATCTGATAAGGGGTTAATGTATAAAGTTTATAAAAAACTGATACAACTCAACACCAAAAAAAACCCAAATAATCCAATTGAAAATAGGCAGAGGAGGGGCACCTGGTTGGTTCAGTCAGTTAAGCATCCAACTTCAGCTCAGGTCATGATCTCACAGTTTGTGGGTTCGAGTCCTGCATCAGGTTCTCTGCTAACAGCTTGGAGCCTGCAGCCTACTTCAGATTCTGTGTCTCCCTCTGTCTCTGCCCCTCCCCTGCTAGCGCTCTCTCTCTTTCTCTCTCTCTCAAAAATAAACAGTAAAAAAAATTTTGTTTAAATAGGCAGAGGACCTAAATGAACATTTTTCCAAAGAAGATATACAAATGGCTAACAGACACATGAAAAGATGTTCAACATCCCTAATCATCAGGGAAATGCAAACCAAAACCACAATGAGATATCACCTTACACCTATCAGAATGGCTAAAATCAAAACAGAAAGAAGTAACAAGTGTCGGCAAAGATGCAGAGAAAAAGGAACCCTCATATACTGTTGGTAGGAATGTAAATTAATACAGCAACTGTGAAAAACAATATGAAGGTTCTCAAAAAAGTAAAGGTAGAAATACCGTATGATACAGTAATTCACTACCTGGTATTTACCCAAAGAAAACAAAAACACTAATTCAAAAGATGTATGCACCCCTCTGTTTATTGCAGCATCATTTACAATAGCCATGATACGGAAGCAATTCACATGTCCGTCAATAGATGAACAGAAAGAGAAGGTGTGGGATATATACATATACAATGGAATATTAGCCATTTAAAAAAAAAATGAGGTCTTGGCATTTGTGACAACAGGTATGGACCTGGAGGGTACTACACTAAGTGAAGTAAGTCAGACAGAGAAAGTCAAATAGTACCTAGACTTTTGATTATAGAGCCCTGTAAGAGTTGAAAAGTAATATTGGGATCCCAACACAGCGTTACCTATTTTGTTGAATAAGGCATCAAACATACCCTAAAAGCCAATTTGATCCATAATTTCATTTTTATCTCCTCGAAGGCCACCTTATTTCAGAACATCAAATTACCATAATCATTGTTAATATCCCAGACTCATTTAGGTATGTAGAAAAACAAAAGCAAACATCAATTCTATGATATGCAATCTTAAAACTCTGGGAGAAATTAGAGAAAATGAGAAACAATAGCCCCTAACTACTTCTCCAGCCTTTTTTTACCACAAAGTAGAAAAGAAAATAATAATGGTGGTAAACCAGGAAATCTGGCTAGGATACAATGTAAGGCATTCCCCATAAATCACATTCTGGCCCCAACACACAACAGAGGAGGAGGCTCAAAACTACCAAGTGCCCTTAGAAAGTCAACTGAGATCCATTAGTTAATACAGTATGATTCCACTACCTTTGCCAATCGCTCACATTTTACTCCTTGTATTTAACAGGTCATCTATTAAGCCACCAAATCCAGTAATCTACCATCCTCAATATCTATGCCACTCAACAGTATTCATCACTTACGCTTCCTTAGGCACTTCCTTCTCTTGACTAACTTAAATACATTCTCCTGATCTCTCTCCTACTATTCCAACTACTCTTTCCTGTTTCCATCTCTGGCTCTTCTTGGCCTCTAAGTAACCTATATAATTCTAGCTTTTGCCTTCTTTCCTCCCTCCCTATTCTTGAGGCAATCTCATCACTTCCCATAGTTTCAACCAAATAAATGCCAGCAAAAGCTGACACCATCTCAAAGTGCAGTTCAGAAAACCAGTTAATAGATTAATGACATTAATGACACCAAGACTTAACACCTGATTCATCTGACCCACTCTCCTTTGCATTCCACAAACACCAGTTCCCAAATCCTACAGTTACCACCAAAATCTCTTTAAAACTGCTCTTATTCTCAAAGTGCCCTGACAATATACCAAACCATATAATATTTCTCCCTAGATAACGTATAATAATCTCTGCCTTCATTTTCTACTTCCAGAATCTTTGCATCTGACCCTACACTCTAACCAATCCGTAATATACAGTGCTGTCAGACTAATATTTCTGAAGCATACCTCAAATCCCAGTTCTTCCAGTTCTACCATCCTATAGTGCTCTCATCCCCTCTGCCTTTCCCCCTTTTACTAAATAAATAAATAAATCAAACACTTTCGAAGCCTTTCTTTTTTTTTTTTTTAAGTTTATTTAACGTGTGCATTCACACGTTAGGGAGGGGTAGAAAGAGAGGGAGAGAGAGGATCCCAAGCAGGCTCCATGCAGTCAGCCTGGAGCCTGCTGCAGGGCTAGATCTCACCAATCGCTGAGATCATGACCTGAGCCAAAATCAAGAGTCAGACACTTAACTGAAACTAAAGATCTCTCACTGGGGAGATCACCCCTAAACACATGAACTGAATAATACAAGACACAATATCATCAAATGACAACAGGGAAAAACTAAA